ATATAACTACATTCCAAAGTTCCAAGTGACCATAGATGCAAAAATTCTCAACAAATTCCTAACAAACTAAATTCAACAGCACATTTAGTAAAGAAAGAATTTTGGCCAGTTGCAGTGGCTCACACCTGTAATCCCAGCACTTTGGGAAACCAAGGCAGGTAGATCATTTGAGGCCAGGAGTTCCAGATCAGCCTGGCCAACATGATGAAACCCCAGTCTCTACTAAAAATACAAAAATCAGCAGAGTGTGGTGCCAGGCGCCTGTAATCTCAGCTATTTGGGAGGTTGAGGCAGGTTAATCACTTGATCCAGAAGGCAGAGGTTGCAATGAGCTAATACCACTGCACTCCAGCCTGGGCAACAAGAGTGAAACTCTGTCTCAAAAAAAGAAAAAAAAAAAAAAAAGAATTCTATGCCATAAACAAATAGAATCTATCCCTGGCATGCAGGGATTGATTCAACATACACAGATTGATCAACATGATACACCAATGTGATACAGAATAAAGAATCAAAAAAAAAAAAAAATGCTGGGCACGTTGACTCGTACCTGTAATTCCAGCACTTTGAGGGGCTGAGGTGGACTGACTGCTTGAGTCCAGAATTCAAGACCAGCCTGGGCAACATAGTGAGACCCCCCCACCCCCATCTCTAGAAAAAAAACAAAACAAAAAATTCATCGGGCATGGTGGCACATGCCTATAGTCCCAGCGACTTGGGAGGCTAAGGTAGGAGGATCATTTGGGAGGAGGTCGAGGCTATGGTGAGCAGTGATGGCACCATTGCACTCAACCTGGGGAAGAAAGTGAGACCCTGTCTCAAAAAAACCCCCAAAAATGAATAAAAAAGAATTAATAGATGTAGAAAAATTATTTGACAAAATTCAACACACTTTCTTTTTTTTATTTATTTTTTTTTTTTTGAGACGGAGTTTCGCTCTTGTTACCCAGGCTGGAGTGCAATGGCGCGATCTCGGCTCACCGCAACCTCCGCCTCCTGGTTTCAGGCAATTCTCCTACCTCAGCCTCCAGAGTAGCTGGGATTACAGGCACGTGCCACCATGCCCAGCTAATTTTTTGTAATTTTAGTAGAGACGGGGTTTGACCATGTTGACCAGGATGGTCTCGATCTCTTGACCTCGTGATCCAACCGCCTCGGCCTCCCAAAGTGCTGAGATTACAGGCTTGAGCCACCGCGCCCGGCCCAATTCAACACACTTTCATGAGAAAAACTCTCAACGAGCTAGCTATGGAAGGAATTTACTTCAACATAGTGAAGGCCAAATGTTATAAACTCATAATTAACATCATACTAACTGATGAAAAACTAAAGGCATTTTTTCTAAGGTCAGGAACAAGGCAAGTATATTCACTTTTACCAGTTTTACTCAACACAGTACTGGAAATACTGAGCAAAGAAGTAAGAAAGGAAATAAAGCCATCAAAATATAAAAGGAAGAAGTAAAATTATCTCTGTAAGCCTACAACATGATCTTGTATGTGGAAGACCATTAATAGTCAACCAAAAACCAACAATCAGAACCAATAAGTGAAGTCATTAAATTGGTAGAATACAAAATCATGACTTCAAAGTCAATTGCTTTTCTAGACACAATGAATTATCCGAAAAAGAAATTAGGAAAACAATCCCATTTCCAAAAACATTAAAAAGAGTGAAATACGCAGGATTAAATTTAAGGAAGTGAAAAACTTGTAGACTTAAAAAACAAAACACAGATGAATGAAAGTTTAGAAGACAAAAACAATGAAAAGACATCTTGTGTTCATGAATTGGAAGTCTTAATATTGTTAAGACTTCAGAAAATGATTTACATATTTAAGGAAATCCCTATCAAAATCCCAATGGAATTCTTTACAGAAATTGAAAATTGTATCCCAAAGTTTGTATGGAACCATAAAATATCCCAAACAGCCAAAACAATCTTCAGAAAGAACAAAGCTGGAGGCATCACACTTCGTGATGTCAAAATACAAAACTACTGTAATTGAAATGGTATGATACTGGCATAAAGAGAGACAGAAACCAGAATAGATAGGAATTCCAGATATAAACTCAGACATATATGCTCAAATGATCTTTATGCAGGGTGCCATGACTAACCAATAGGGGGAAGAAAAAACTCTCTTCAACAAATGATGCTGATAAAACTGAAAAAGCTGCATGCAAAATAATGAAATTAGACCCATATATGTTTGAGCTGTTAGATCCTCCTGATGTGGAAGGGCTGGCTTAGGGACTCTTCAAGGACAAGACCATAGGAGCTTGGCCTTAAACCTAGAGAATGCTCTGTTATGTAGCCATAGTTCAGGAACACCATGACAGCCAGTTGTGCCATGGCAACCTGCCAGTCAATGTGGCAGCTGTATGTGACAGGGTCACAAAAAATGTTAGTGTAAGCATAATTGTTCTGCTAGAAAGCATATATATGAGTGGATTAGAGTGGGCAATGAGGATAGGGAAGAGTGTGTGTGTGAGAAATATCTACCACTTACCAAGTGTGGTGTATATATCAAGTGTCCTAGAACAAGTCTATAAGATGTGGAAAGCACAAATAATTTTTTAAGTGTATGCTACTCATCATGCTGAAAATAATATTTCAGTTCTATTCTATGCATGGTTGTAAACTAAACTCTTCTGGCAAACCTAGATGATTTCTAAACATAGGTGACCTTAAAACCTGGGCCACTGAATACAGCCACATTTCAGAAGGGCCTCAAATTGCTGCAACCATATTAATCATGTTGATCTGAAACTCAGCTTCATTAATGGTAAAATGTTATAATTTTTTTTTCAAATCACCAAATTTAAAAATGCATGGAACCCTTGGGTGTTTAGAAAATACTTCATTCATAAGCCTTTATATAATCATGTGGACAGGTTATTTCGCTGTCCTAATAGATGTGTTCATATAATTTCTTTGTCCCAGTGGATTCTCAGTGTAATTTTCCAAACCAAGCGAAGTGATTAATTTGTAATTACAGTTGAAGTGAATAATATCCCAGATGACCCAAATCTCACTTAAATATAGCCTTGATTAGAATAACAATTCCTTTGAATCTATCTCCAGTGTTACAATAAATGTATCACAAGTTTATACTTATTTTTTAAGGATTCAGGAATATTTGATTATTTTATATGTACCAGAAGTTACAGGTTGATTATTTCAAGCAAATATTTAGTAATTTAGCATCTACTTATTGTGTAAGCAGTGCTTGGTATTCTTCCCACATTGTATATTTTAACACAAGAATCATATGAGGTATGTATTATTATCTCCCTTTTATAGGTAAGTAAACAGAAGATCAGAAAGATTTGTAACCTGCCTGTGATTGCATAGACTGTGAGAGGTAGAACTAAAAACTCTGATCCCAGGTTCGCATGGCTGCAAATCCATGGTGTTCCTGCACATCATTTTGTCTTCCATGCTGGCAACCATACTCAACTTTGAAAACATTTGTGTCTTCCATGCATTTATTTTCTTTTTTATTATTATTTTCTTTAAAAATATTAAATTCATATCTGGTTTGGGTGTTTGCCCAGATAAAAAAAGCCAGAATTTAATAATTCAGGCACACAATCTTAGTATTATTCACACTAGAGCATACTGTTGTCATGATTCTCATGTAACTGAGATCAAATGAAATTTGATAGAATGTGTTTGGGTAAGAGCATGGTTGCTGATATTTATTATGTTTTCTTAATCTTCAAGTAGGATTTCTTGAAGAAAAAGCAAATTATTCTAAATAGTATGTTGGCCTTTAGATCAGAGTCATGGGAAAGAATGAATATAACTTATCTATTCTCCCCTTTCCTAGATCATGTGCTGTATTTTGAACAAAGGAACCATTATTTTGAAATGTCAATTAATCGTTTTTTTCAGTATAACTTCCTGCCTTTCCTCTCTGGCTACTTCTTCCCCTACCTGTTTAAATCCCCAGCCCCATCAAATACTGCCACACTTATTCTCTATAGTTGCTTTTTAGAACTGGTGAAGCTAAAACTTACCTAGACAGATCCCCAAATAGTTCCATTCTCTTTCCATTTAATCCTAGTTCACAATGATACCTAAGTTTTCCTTATTGCTTCACACAATCTCATATGTATGACAAGGTATGGTGTAGAAGATAAGTCTTGGGATATTTTACAAAGTATCTAGGATGCTTAGTTTTTAACAATAATAAAAATTGTTTGACTTCTTCCTCTTGATTGCAGACATCATCTAGCTCTTGTCAATTATTATAACTAAGGATGTGGTTTTTGTACTCTACGGAAAGGAGCAAGTCAGAAAGAAAGATATGTCAAAGTCAATTTTTTAGGCCCGATTAATTAGTATAACCACTGGAAAAGATACATTTGGGATGGGCATGGAAGATTAAGAGTTGATCTTTTTTTTTTTTCTATTTTTGAGATGGTAGTTTTGCTCTCTTGCTCAGGCTGGCGTGCAGTGGCACAATCTCAGCTCACTGCATCCTCTGCCTCCTGGGTTCAAGTGATTCTCCTGCCTCAGCTGCCCAAGTAGCTGGGATTACAGATGCCCACCACTACACTTGACTAATTTTGTGTTATCATGATCCATCCATCTCAGTCTCCCAAAGTGCTGGGATTACAGGCATGAGCCCTATGTCTGGCCTAGAGTTTACTTTTCTATGAACATTTATTAATATGTTATTAACAGTTTATGTTATTTTAATGTTGTTGTAAACATCCTTTTACATATCTCCTGTGCACATGGCGATTAGACTTACTCTAAATATACAAATAGGGGTAAAATATCTGGATCCCAACATAATTGAGTTTTCAGTTTTATTTAACGAAATCTGAAAGGAAAATTTGCACAAAATATTCTATAAGGCAAAGTTACTATATTAAAAATTGAATGATGATAAGATCATATTTAGGCATATACATTAACTGTGGGGTCATTTCGACCAATTTAATTTCCTCTGGTCTTGTTTTAATAGGCACCGTTAAATGGATAGATGGAGACTGAAAACAATTCAACAGTGACAGAGTTCATTCTTTTGGGATTAACAGACAACCCTATGCTATGTGCCGTTTTCTTCATGGTTTTTCTAGCAGTTTATATAGTTACCATAGTGGGAAATATTAGCATAATCTTCTTAATCCGAAGCAGCCCACAGCTTCACACCCCAATGTACCTTTTTCTCAGTCATTTGGCCCTTGTGGACATTGGGTATTCCACATCTGTTACACCAATCATGCTCATCAGTTTCTTAAGAGAGAAAACGACTATTCCCGTCACCAGCTGTATAGCACAGCTTGGCTCTGATGTCATGTTTGGAACCACAGAGTGCTTCCTGCTGGCCACTATGGCCTATGATCGCTATGTGGCTATCTGCTCTCCCCTACTTTACTCCATCCAAATGTCCCCAATCGTCTGCTTCCTCCTACTGGGAGCCTCCTACCTGGGTGGATGCATGAACACTTCGTCTTTTACAGGCTGTTTGATGAACCTGTCCTTCTGTGGTCCAAATAAAATCAACCACTTTTTCTGTGACCTCTTCCCACTCTTGAAGCTTTCTTGTGGTCATGTTTACATTGCTGAAATATCCCCCGCTATCACCTCTGCATCTGTCCTTATCAGCACGCTATTTACCATAATCGTGTCCTACATCTACATCCTCCACTCCATCCTGAAGATGCGCTCTACTGAGGGAAGGAACAAGGCTTTCTCCACCTGCACTTCCCACCTCACTGCAGTCACGTTGTTCTATGGGACCGTTTTGTTTGTTTATGTAATGCCCAAGTCAAGCTATTCAGCGGATCAGGTCAAGGTGGCATCTGTGATCTACACGGTGGTGATTCCTATGCTGAACCCCCTCATCTACAGTCTCAGAAATAAGGAGGTGAAAGAGGCCATGAGAAAACTGTTGGCAAAAACACATTGGTTTTCCTGAATTAAATCAGGTATAATCCAGAAATAACAAAACCGATGATTTGGGAGACATTTGTGTTTAATAATCTACTTATCATTAACTGTATCACTTATATAGTGAAGAACTTACATAAATGTAGAAAACCAATGCTTCCTTCCATTTACAGAGTTAAATGTCTAATTTATGTGGACATTGCTGGAGTGAAATTTTTTTTTTTTTTTTTTTTGAGACTGAGTCTTGTTCTGTTGCCCAGGCTGGAGTGCAGTGGCATGATCTCATTCTGGTTCACCATAACCTCCTCCTGCTGGGTTCAAGCAATTCTCCGGCCTCAGCCTCCAGAGTAGCTGGGATTACAGGTGTGCACCACCACACCCAGCTAGTTTTTGTATTTTTAGTAGAGATGGGGTTTCACCATGTTGGTCTTGAACTCCTGAGCTCAAGCAATCTGCCTGCCTTGGCCTCCCAAAGTGCTAGGATTATAGGCATGAGCCACTGTGCCCAGCCTGAAATCAAATTAAACATGGATTTTTCAACATAAGAATACCTCAGAAAACAGTTTCTAATAAAATGTCCCCCATTTGCCAATTACAGAGTTCTAACTGAATAAAGACACAAAGAGACATATTTCAATCAGAGATCAACTTTTTCTAAATCCCATCTTATAAAACAACATCTGGGAAAGGAATTTCCAATAGATGTGTAATCAATGGTAATGTTGACAAGTCAGGCAGTTGAAGTTACTACTCTGCTATGCTCCATAAATGCTTAAACTTCTGAAAATGGCAATGTGAGTGTCTCAGAAAAGCTTCTATTTCTTTTTCTTTTATTTAAGCCAGAGCAAAAATTGTGATTCTTGTATTTGGCCATTGAGAGATACAACCCGCATAACATAGAAGAAACTCTGAACAAATCCTAGCTAACTATTTTTATACATGAAGCCTTAGCAGATGAGCACTAGAGTTGGACTTTGAAAGCAGACATTTCTTTAGATAGTGAGACTTTCTTTGACCAATAGCTTATAGATATGAGACATGAAATTATGATCCAGGCAAAAAATATATCTGCCACACATTTTTATAGTGTCTCTCAAAAAGGTGTCCATCATCACTGTTTCTTCCACTGCCCTTTTTTGTGACCCAGTTCAGTTATGGCAATTGTTTCTAAATTGATTCCCTGCCTCCAGTGCTTCTTCCGCAATTTCTGATTAACACCTTAGTTGATATATTTGCATTGTTAGCATAGTAATAATGTCATACAGATCCCAAGACAGTAGGGAGAAACCATTTTACAATCTGACCTCCCATTCCTGGGTTCTTCACTGACCAGATCAAGGAAATCTTCTCTTCTTCTGTCTGGAAGCTATAATGTGCAATTTTTCTGATCCTGTTTCCCTGTTTTTACCTCTTTACTTGTGTCACCTATGGGCCTATAATCCCCCCAATGCAATAATTACAGGGCTAAAGTTTACACAGATATGGCCTTTTGCAAAGAGAGGTGACTCAAAGGTGTGATTTAAGTCTAAGAAAGAACCATCTTAGCAATCATGGTGAGAACACTGAACTCTGGTGGCTGAAGGTTTTCATGGACTGTTTTTGGCAGCCCTTCTTTTCATCTCACCCTCTGCACTTCACTCTTCACCAGGGTACATTCTCAGATCTCTGTTCTTATCCCCATTCCCCATGATCCCCAAGTGTAACCTCATTCTCTTCCATGGGGTCGGTTTCTCCTGTGTGGTTAACAGTATCCCTATCTCCAAATGCAACCTTCCTTGGAGGACAGATAGATTTCATTGGCTTTTTTTCCTAGGACCCTCACACTCAGCATGATGTGACCAGATTTATCGTATTTCTCTCAAAACTGTTTCTTCTCCTCTGTTTCTTTTCTCGATATAGTCACCTCATAAATGTCACCTCTTTGTGAGGACTAGTACTCCAAAAGACTTGGTGTGGCCCTTCACTGTGTACCTATCTAAATGGTCAGCTTCCTGCCCTCCTTTTCCTTCTCTCAAAAGAAAGATATATCACATATTAATCTACCTTAATCTAAGTCTCTTTTGTCTAGAGGCTTAAGTGTTTCCCAATTGATTATGATAAGTTCATGCAGAAATTTGTCCTTTGTTCTTTAACTCTAAGGGGTTCAACTAATTCAGTCACCCAGATGTAGAGGGTATGGCTGCATCTGGCACTGTTACAGTCCTTTTGGGATTTAAATATAAATCCTCTCCCAAAAGGACTGTAACAGTGCCAGATGCACTTCAGTTAAATCCATCAACTGAAGAATGAAAAAAAGAGAAGGTGTCGGTAAGAGCAAAATATTGCCTGTAGAAATAAAAGAGTTGATATTAGAGTATGTGGTTTATGTTCATGGACACATATGTTTTTGTGTTCTGAATCCCAGAATTTGACACTCTTTCTTTCTGTCACTGAAAATATTGTCTCCTGGCAGACACTCAGGTCTTCACAATGAGAGTCAGCCTTTACCCAAGAGCTTACAGTATGTCCAAGAGCAGTCAAGAACATTGAGTGAAGGCTTGCTCCCAACAGAAAGAAGGAAGAAGGGCTGAGATGCTGTTTGCAAGTGAACTGTGTTCCTCTCAAATTCCATATATTGAGTTTTAATCACCTGTACGTCAGAATATGACTTTGTTTTGGAATAGGTTTGGTGTAGATACAATTTGTTAAGATGAAGCCATACTGGAGTAGGGTAGGCCCCTAAACCAACATGACTGATGTGCTTGTTGAAAGGGAAATTTTGGATGTAGGCTACACATTGGAAGGACTCCATGTGAAGATGAAGACAGAAATCTGGTTGATGCTTTACAAGCCAAGGAACACCAAAGACCAACAGAAAAACACGAGAGGCGAGGGGAAAGGCCTAGTACAGATTCTCCTTCACAGCGCTTACCAAGGAGAGTCAACCCTGTTGAAACCTTGATCTTGGACTTCCAGCCTCCAGAACTATTAGAATAAATTGACACATTGTTGTGGTAGCTCTAGAAAATGAATTCAATTGCATATCTAGTTTTCCCCTAAAAAGTCACCATCAGCTAATTTACTCCTTCCAGGAGAGGAGGGAGTGAAGACTTGGAAAGATGCCAGATGTGTTACACTAGAGGGATGCCCCTCTGTGATGGCTAATATTGAGTGTCAACTTTATTGGATTGAAGCATGCAAAGTATTGTTCTGGGTGTGTCTGTGTGGGTGTTGCCAAAAGACATTAACATTTGAGTCAGTGGATTGGGAGAGGCAGACCCACTCTCAATCTGCTGGGTGCCATCTAATTAGTTGTCAGCACAGCTAGACTAAAGCAGGCAGGAGAACATGGAAGAGCAGATTTGCTCAGTCTTCTGGTCTTCCATCTTTCTCCCAGTGCTGGATGCTTCCTGCCCTCAAACAACAGACTTCAAGTTCTTCAGCTTTTGGACTCTTTGACTTACACCAGTGGTTTGTCAGGGGCTCTTGGGCCTTTGGCCCCAGACAGGTAAGCTGTACTGTCGGCTTCCCTACTTTTGAGGGTTTGGGATACAGACAGATCCACCACTGGCTTCATTTCCCCTCAACTTGCAGACTGCCTATTGTAGGATTTTACCTTGTGATCATGTGAATCAATTCTTCTTAATAAACTTGCCTTTAGCATATACATATATTCTATTAGTTCCCTCCTTCTAGAGAACCCTAATACACCCTCTGGAAGAGGGGAAAAGAATATCAGGAATGATCAAAAGTATTTTGCCCAAAGTGAGTCAGTAAATAAGGATCAATAATGATAGTAACCCTGTTAGAAAAAATCAAATTTCTTTCAAAAGATTTTTAAGGTCCCATTTACTACAGATTATAGATTGCTACTTAAAAGGCAGGAATTTCAACTGGGAGAAATTTAAAATGATCTTGACCTGTTGTGTTGTTAAAAGGTTTATAAATTTCAGGAAAATGTTCCTCTTCTGAAATGGATGGAACTTATGAGGTCACAGACTTTCTGTGAAACACCTGTAGCATTGTATCAGAGGAGACTGAAGCAAGGGTGTAGAGGTAACTTCTTAGGGGTGATGAAATCATTGTATTATGATTGGTGGGCACGTTATACAGGTGTTTGTATCTGTCAAAAGTAATCAACCTGTATATTTAAGTCATGTGTATATCAATTACAATTCAATAAAGTTTTTTTTTTTTTTTTTGAGACAAAGTTTCGCTCTTGTTACCCAGGCTGGAGTGCAATGGCGCGATCTTGGCTCACCGCAACCTCCGCCTCCTGGGCTCAGGCAATTCTCCTGCCTCAGCCTCCTAAGTAGCTGGGATTACAGGCACGCGCCACCACGCCCAGCTAGTTTTTTGTATTTTTAGTAGAGACGGGGTTTCACTATGTTGACCAGGATGGTCTCGATCTCTCGACCTCGTGATCCACCCGCCTCGGCCTCCCAAAGTGCTGGGATTACAGACTTGAGCCACCGCGCCCGGCCTCAATAAAGTTTTAAAAATGATTCTATAAGACAGCTATTTCCTTTCCACTTATATCTGAGGCTATAGGCAGTGTTAACAGTAGCATCGCCTACCTTCCCATGTAAACAAATAGTATTTCTTACTTGTTTCTCAAAACTGTTACAGTTTTATCATCATGTCTTTTGAAAAGTCAAGTATCTTTTTCTTTTCTTCTCCCTTTTTTAAGGGGGAGTATGTCTTTTATCTCGCCCTGGAAGCTTTTAACAAGTTTCTTTTGTTTTTGACTTTGTGTAGTCTTTTTATGATTTGCATAAGTGTGGCTGCTTTTGAACTTATTATGTTTGGTATTTGCAGTTTCTTTAATTTGTAGCTCATGGTTTTTCATCTGTTTGGAGGTTTATTAGTGACTATTTCTTCTACCCCATTGTCCTCATCCTGTTTTCTTGGACATCAATTGCATGTATGATGGATGTTTTCACAATTTCCTATATATCTCTTGCACTCTTTTAATATGTTTTCTACTGACCTATCTTTCAGTTACTGATCTTTATTTCTGCTATTTCAATCTAAAATTAACCCTATCAA